TTTAAAATATTAAGAGACGTGCTTCAACATTGATTTACTGGGTATTTAAAATATTAAGAGATGTGCTTCAGCATTGATTTACTGGGTATTTAAAATATTAAGAGATGTGATTCAACATTGATTTACTGGGTATTTAAAATATTAAGAGATGTGCTTCAACATTGATTTACTTTAATTTCTATGTACAAGTATTTAGCCCTTGAATGGAGTGTCAGTTGCAAGTTTTGATCGTAACTCTGAATCAAATATACAATATCAAAGTGTTCTAGTAAAAAGTAATTGGTGGCTGCAACACAGTCTACTTTAGTGACAGACCGAGTAAACATTCGACTTTAGACAAGTTTTTTTTTTTTATGGAAGCGTTTGTTTTTTATTTTAGTTCTAAATAAATAATGAGTTAATTCAATACTAATTAATTTATTATAAATAATGATTTTTGTAACATCTAAATAAATGAAACATCTAAACATGAAAAAAATTATTTTAAATGCAAACCACATTAGAAAATATTTTTAGTTCAAATGCAAACCATATTAATTTGATATATATATATATATATATATATATATATATATATATATATATATATATATATATATATATATATATATATATATATATATATATATATATATATATATAATCTTCCTTGGCACACCCAGTCAAATATACTCACAAAATCTAATCTTTTTCTTGAATTATCACTGATATTATTGTATTTTAAAGTCACACCGCATATCTATCTAATCATCATCTTTTCTGTTCTCTCCAAAAGCTGGACATCATCAAACTTCATTGTCCATGTTTCACTGCCATACATCATAACACTCTGGACATATGTACTGTAGAACTTTCCTTTAACCATCCCAGTAAGCACAGATCGTTTTTAAAACGTTTAAAAAACGTTAATATTCGTTTTTATAAGTTTTTTAAACTTTATTATTTACAAAATACTAATACTAATTAACAAAGTTATATATCCAATTAAAAACATAAGTATGAAATTTAATACAAAACAGCTGTATGGTTAATTTTATCAAGATAACTAGCTAGCTAACTCATTTTTAAATTGAATTTTCATACAAATCCAAATAAAAACTAATTAATTTACATATTAACTTGGTAAAAAGTTTTTTATTAACTGCATAGATTTGAACTTTTTTTATAAATTGCTTTATTAATAATTGTTTATTGGCTGAAAAGTGTAGTTTTGTTCTCAAACATTAGGAGAATTTACAAAATAATTTCTATATATAGAATACATGACAGTGGCTTAATATATATATATATATATATATATATATATATATATATATATATATATATATATATATATATATATATATATATATATATATCGTTTGATGTAGTGTGGTATCAAAATAATGCATAACTCTTGTTTGTTGAAAAGTGCTCAATATTTAGGAAATTTATTTTGAGTATATATAAGTTTCAAAACAGAGCGGTTTATAATTAAAAACGAAAAAGAAAAATATTTTATTATGGAACTTTAAGTTTCATGCCTAGCGGCAATCATCAGCCATATATTAAGGTGAGTTTCCACTCATCCGTTTTTTCACGGGAACGGGAAAAGGAAGGGAAAAATAATCACGTGGGCATGCGTTTTAATTTGTCCGAAGTAAAACTACGCATCGACATCGAGTTGGAGTACTCCAACTCGATGTCGTTGTATTTTTTTCTTTATGTATAGCTTAGTAATTAAAAAATATATGTATACATAACTAATTAACAAACACATAATATACATAAAGACACATTAAAGTAAAAGAAAAATTTTATCAAAATAATTACATTTTGACACGAAATAAAATACTTTTGTGTCGTAATGTTTCTTTAATTTTTCATGTTTCCTAGTTAAATGCGCTTCCACGGTACTCTATTGTAAGATTATTAGGTCTTTTTTGGCCAACTAAAAAAAAAAAATTCATAAAAAAATGTTTTTTATTACTCTCATTACTCTCGACTCCGAAAAACGTAAAAAAATTAAAAAAATCTTGTCGAGTAAGAACGCTAAACGAATCTTGTCGAGTAAGAACGCTAAACGAATCTTGTCGAGTAAGAACGCTAAACGGAGACACAAGTTAAGCGCGGTATGGATCAATATGGAACTTCTTGTTTACAAAGTAATAGCTCTAGCACTATACCACTTCTTCATTATTCTAATTATTCAAATAACCTAGAAGCACAGCAAATAATATGACCAAAATCCAATACAATTAGATGGTTCTTTATTTTATAAAAACCTATTTTTCTTAAACTTATTTTGAAGTTTTATTATAAAATAAAAAGTCTTTAAAAAGTACAGGTGTGGGAAACTTTTTTGAATTATTTATTTTTTGAATATTATTTTGTGGCTTTTAATATTTGGGCAAAAAATCAGAGGCCAATATTTTTAATTGCACATTTTCAGCTGTATTATGTTACGTTCAAGGTCTAAACAACTTGATCAATTTATGGCCAATCTTACTTTTTAATTTTTTCTCCAAACCGAATTTTTAAGTAACTATGCTTCTGTTAGCTAAGCAAAGCTGATTGATGTCTGTAGTAAACAATGGTTTCAGAAATTGAAAATTTTGGTATTTTTTCATTGGTTCAACTTGAAGTTGAAGAAATGAGTATTATTACTTTAAAACTGTTCAAGTCTTCTGCAAAAGATTTAAAAAATTTTTCAGGTTGATGGTTAAATTTATTGTCAAAATTTGATGAATTATTTTTTAGAGATTACAGATAGACTTCAAGATATACAGAGAAATTTATAGTAAAAGCTCTACAAAATTAAATTTTTTATTTATTCTTATCATTGTATTAACATTATTAAAAAGTAAACAAGGTTTAAAAAATCAACTAAAGATTAAAAAAAAATCAAACAATTCAAAGGTTTAAGTATGTTGAGCATAAATGTACGATCTACGATCATACGATCATACGATCGTACGATCTACGATCTACGATCATACGATCTACGATCATACGATCTACGATCAACTACGAGCAAAAATGTTGAATCATTTAAACTATTTTATTATTTATTAAATTATCTACTTAACGTAATATATTTTTCAGAGACTTGGGAGGATTCAAGTTTGCCTATTTCAAAAATTCTCTATTTAGCTTATCTTCTTAATATTGTAAGTAAGACTCTATTGGAAAGCAAGGGGGGCGGTGTTGGATTAGACAGCTATGCACAAAAGTTTTTTTTTCAACTAAAAAAAATTAGGAAAATGAATTTAATTAGTTTTTATTTTATTTTTAAAAGAGCAATCTATTAGCTATACAATTAACATTAAGAAAAAAAATTATATAATCTTAAAATGAACATAAAAGTTTTTTTGAGTTAAGGTTTACAACACAAAAAATTAAAAAAAAAAACAAATTTAATATTTAAAGTATCTTCCTTTGGCTCAATAGCAAAAAAAGAACTCGTTTCTGCATGGATTCGACCAATTTCATATGCATATTCTTGACAGATTTGAATTCAAAACAAAAAATAAGTTCATCAAATCAAACAAGTATATTGAAACTCTGTGTATAGAAATTTTAAATAAAACCGGTAACCGGTAAGTCTGTTTTAATCTCCTATTTACATAGACCACCATGAGGCAAGCAAGTTAGCTTTCTGAATTGCTTTAGGATATTTACTTTAGAAATGAGCAAATGAAACAAATATGGCTTCTTTGCCGATGACTTAAATATGGATTCTCTATGTTAGAAAAAGTTTGCAAATGTTAAAAATTTTTTCGATGCGTTATATGAATTTAAGATGACACCTATTGCATTACATGAAAATCATATTTTTTTAATGATAATTTTGAAACAGGTATTTTCAATGCAAATTTCTCTGATTATCTTCCCATATTTCTTATTGCTTAAAAAATCTTATCAAATAACGACAATAAAAAATACTTTGTAACTTGCAGAAATCTTTAGCATTTTTTAGTATTAGTAATTGCTGTAACTGGAGTGAGCCAGTGAATGTGGTGTTAACACACTATCACTGCTGCTTATTCAGCAATCAAGACCTGCTTTAAAACGGTTAACTGATTTTGCATCAACCAACTCGATTGGAAAGCTGTTCCATAAAATGCCTGATCTATTAAATAAAAAGTTTTCACGACACGCTTGCTTAGGAATTTTTTTGATATATTTAAAGCGGTGACCTCTCGTTTGACTTTGTTAAAAACTAATTTTTTTAATTGTTTTCAAATTGTTAAAACCAGTAAAGAATTTTAAAAGTTGAATCATATCTCTTTTTTTTTTAAGGTAGTTAAGTCGAGAGCTTTTAGATGCTCGTAGTTGATTTTATTGAATGATAGTATTAATCGAGTTGCACAATGTTGAACTCTTTCTAATAACCCAGTGGGCACGGAAGTAAAAAAGACGTCTTTTAAACGTTTAAAATACGTCCAAAACGTTCAAAAGACGTTCAGAAAACGTCTAAAACGTGTATAAGACGTTTAAAAGACGTCCTTTTTTACTTCCGTGCCCACTGGGAAATTTCACCATTTCAAATAGGTGACCATCGAGCTAGCACACATGTTGGCCCAACATCGACCGCCAACGTTGTTTTTATATCATTTTAGTTAAAAATGCGACGTTGCCTACAAGAAATAAACAACGTTGACCCAACGTTGTAATTTTATTCGGCATTACGTAATATTTTACGTTGATTCAACAGTGTATTATAAATCAATTCAACGTTATATATAACGTTTGCACAGCGTTATATTTAAATTGTATCGGAATAAAATTTATTTATTTTATATTTTAGCATATATATATATATATATATATATATATATATATATATATATATATATATATATATATATATATATATATATATATATATATATATATATATATATATATATATATATATTGATATTTAACGTTGTTTAAAAACATAATAAAACAAAACTCATAGTCGAAAAAGAGTGCTAAATATTAAAAAGATATTTCAAATAAATATAAAAATAATTATGGCAGTTACGATTGAACAAATAAAAAAAATGTTAAAAAAAATGTTTAAGGAGTTTAGGAAGGAAACAGAAGATATGATTAAACAGCAAGAAAAAAACGTTTTAAACATTATAAGTTCGAGCACAAAAATTTTATACGAGCGTTTGGATAAAATTGAAATGCGTATCAATGAAAATAGTAAGCAAATAAAATTGATAGAAAAAGAAATTGAAGACATTAAAGTGAGTTTAAACTTTCATGAACAACTCATTGAAAAAAAAATTCGAAGCGTCATTACTTCACAGGATAAATGTAATACAATAAACGTTACCCAAAACAATGAGTCTGCATTTTCTAAAATTACCAACAAATTAAGAGAGATAGAGGATCGATCCCGGCGGAACAATCTGAGAATTGACGGAATTAAAGAAAGCGAAGGTGAAAGTTGGAATGACAGTGAAACAAAGGTAAAAAACATTTTTGAAAATTATTTAGGTCTAAAAGATATTAAAATTGAAAGGGCACATAGAACTGGTCATAAGGATTCACTTAGACCAAGAACTATAATCATTAAGCTTCTAGACTTTAAAGATAAAGTAAATATTTTAAAAAAATCCCCTAATCTAAAAGGAAAAAATATCTATATAAATGAAGATTTCTGCGCTGAGACATTGCAAATTAGGAAGGTGCTGAGAGAACAAATGAAAATGGAACGAGCGGCAGGAAAATTTGCAAGTATTTCATACGATAAACTTATCATACGCGATTGAGCTGCAAAGAAAAGTATAAATGTATAATCCTAATATTTTAATATCTTATTTTCATGATTAGTATATTTTACTTTTTTAAAAATGGATGATAATCTTCGACTTAATTCTAATACTGAGTGTGATGATGACTATTTCATTCAAAAAAATTTTGAAAGTGAGTACTATTCAATATTTGAATCTACTAAGTTTCTTAGTAAAATAAAAAATAAAAAAAGTTTTTCAATTTTTAATCTAAACATTGGAAGTATTAGTAAAAATTTTGATAATCTAAAATTCTTATTGCATGATCTAAATCACGATTTTAAAATAATTAGTCTCACGGAAACGTGGTTGAAAAGTAATGAAATAAATTCTAATTATGAGCTAAGTAATTAGGTGTCAATTCACCAACCGCGTCAAACCCACGTTGGTGGTGGTTTAAGTATCTATGTTCACAAATCTATAAACTTTATTTTACGCAATGATCTCATTTTTAACGAAATAGATTGCGAGTCGTTATGCATTGAAATAAATAATAAGGCAACCAAAATATTATTATCAATTCTATTTATAGAAAACCAGCTGGTAATTTCAAAAGATTTCAATCTTATTTGAAAAATTTCTTTAGCAAAGTTAACATTACTAAGAAACACGTGTACTTAACTGGTGATTATAATTTAAACTTGTTAAATCATGCTTCAAATGTAAATGTTCAATGTTTTTTAGATACACTTCTTCAGCACGATATAATTCCCACAATAAATAAGTCAACGAGAATAACTAAGACCACGTCGACATTATCAGATATTACATTCACTAATAATTTTCATGATTGCTTATCAAAATAATCAAAATCGACATAATTGATCATTACCAATATTCTTAGTTACAGATAATATAAGCCTTAGCCATTCCGTCTCTAAATCAACAATCTTAATATGACAAATCAATGAAAACTCTTTATTATACTTTCGAAATCTTTTATCTGAAAAAACTGATTGGAACCTTATATTACAATCACAAGACGCGAATAATGCGTATGAACTATTTTTGGCGCAGTTTTGTAAACACTATGATTTAGCATTTCCAGTACAAAAAAAAGTTGTAAATCCTAATTCACTTCTAAGCCCTTGGATGACCAAAGGTTTATACAAATCATCAAAGAGAAAACAAAGACTTTATGAAAAATATTTAAAACATAAAACATATAAAAATGAAATAAAATACAAAAATTATAAAAACACGTTTGAAAAAACAAAGAAACATGCAAAAAAATATTATTATGCAAGGTTGTTGGAAAAAACACGCGGAAACACACAAAACACGCGGAACGTGATTAAGCAGATAATCGGTAAAAATAAATATCCAAAAAATAATTTGCCACAAAAACTATTAGTTAACAGGAAAATGATTTATAATAAAGAAGTCATAGTTAAAAAACTCAATAAATTTTTTCTTGATATTGGCCCAACTTTAGCTGATAAAATTCCAAAAAACACTTCAAACTTTGAATCTTATATGAAATCAATCAATACATATATGAAAGAAGTAAAATTAAACATAAATGAGTTGCGAAATGCATTCAGCTGTCTAAAAAGTAATAAATGCGCTGGCATATATAATATTAACGTGAATATTGTTAAAGCAGTGTTTGATATTATTGAACCGTCACTGTTTTACACTTTTAACCTTTCACTAGAATCCGGTATTGTACCGGAGAAATTAAAAATTGCTAAGATCATACCTATTTTTAAATCTAGCGATGACACGATTATGTCTAACTATAGACCAATTTCTATCTTACCATGTTTCTCAAAGTTGTTAGAACGAATTATGTATGATAGACTTAATACTTATTTAACTGAGAACAATACAATGTATAACAAACAATTTGGGTTCAAAAAGAATCATTCAACTGATCATGCGGTAGTCTATCTAATAAATTATATATCCAATGATTTCAATAATGATTGCTATACATTAGGAGTTTTTATTGATTTGTCAAAAGCATTTGACACTGTAAACCACAATATTCTTTTAAAAAAACTAAAACTGTATGGAATACTTAATAATAACTTACTATGGTTTAAAAGTTACCTGTCAAACAGAAAACAATGCATATTATATACAGCAAATGAAACTGAAAATCATATTATAACTTGTGGTGTTCCCCAGGGATCAATCCTAGGGCCGCTCTTATTCCTACTCTAATGATTAATGATTTATACTTAGCGTCCAAAGTAAATGTTATTTTGTTTGCTGATGATTCGAATTTTTTTTACTCACACAATAATATAAAAGAACTGTTTAGAATATCTAACGAAGAATTATTAAAAATAAATGACTAAATTACAAATAATAAACTTTCATTAAATTTATCTTGTTCCACAAACCTCGTAGGGGAGATAACCTTTCTCTAAAATTACCCAATCTCTTTATGAATAAAACAATTATTAAAAGAGAGTCAACTGTTAACTTTCTAGGAGTGATTCAGGGCCGTGCGGTGCTATGATATAAAGAGGCGGCCGCCTCAAGCGGCACCATTAAGGGGCGGCAAAGTAGCGAAATCAAAATGCAATTTCAGGGTTGCAATAATAATTAGGTACTAAATCATAAACTGGACTCATTTAAATTTTAATTACTACCAAACTCGAGAATGTTTTTATCACTTTAAAAGTTTTTTCATTGTCCTCATTTTTCTATAAAAATAAAAAAAAAATTTCTCCCTCATTTAGCATTCGCTTTTGCTATTCCTTTCAATATGAATAAAAACGTTTTGAAACGCATATTAGCGTGGACTATTTTCTTATTATGTTTCAAAATACTGTTTTCAAACCTTTTTAAACGTTTGTGTTTGCCTGTCTTTGCAAGTTAAATTTTAACTTTGTAATGTCATCATGTTTTTAACTGTTAAAAACATGATGACATTACAAAGATTTTACAAAATTTTTACAAAAATTTATTACAGCAGTGACAGCAATCGTCAGCATGGAACAAAAAAGAAAAAAATTATCTGGAAGTCAATACAAAAAGAAACGCTTAAAGAATGAGGAACAAGAAAGAAAGCTCAGCAATGTTATGAAGAAATTCTTAGTACAAAAGTGCGGTTTAGATGAGCCATCCACATCAGCAGCAACTGATTTGGCAAATAACAACACAGTGCCGCCCCAATCACTTCCAGAAGAAGTTGTTGAAGAGAGCTAAATACTAACACCATCAGATCTTCATGAACAGCCGGGCAGCACATCCACGTCAACTGCGACTGCCTTGGATTTGGCAAATAAAAACACAGTGCCGCCCCAATCAATTCCAGAAAAAATTGTTGAAGAGATCCAAAAAATAACATCATCAGAAGTTCATCAAGAACTGGGCCCCATTAGCAGTGGCAGTCAGCAGGTATTAAAAGAAATTCCTTCAGATCCTGCATTATGGCTTACTTTCTGCATGTCATCTCAAACTCGTCAACTACTGGTTGAGAGGGGTCCCCATCAAATTAAAGAATTCGAGTTTCCTATTAATAAAGGAAAGCGTAGATTTTTGCCCTCGTATTATTCGAAAGTGTTGAGCAATGGTGAAGTCGTTGAGAGAAGTTGGCTTATTTACTCTATTGCTAGTGATGCCGTTTTTTGCTTTTGTTGTATATTATTTGATAATTCGTCTGATATTAGTGACTGGCCCAAAAAAGGCTATTCTGACTGGAAAAATCTTATAAGAGCCCTCACAATGCACGAAAAGTCTGTAAATCACAGAAATGCTTTTAGAGCATGGAAAGAATTGGACATTCGATTGAAGCAGAAAAAACTATTGACGCTGAATATCAACGAATTATTGATATGGAACTTCAGCATTGGAGAGGAGTTATAAAAAGAATTATGTCAATAATTAAACTATTGGCCTCACAATGTTTAGCTTTTCGTGGATCAACTGAACATTTGTTTTAACCTAATAACGGGAACTTCCTAAAGTTGGTAGAATTACTTTCTGAGTTTGATCCAGTTATGGAAGAACATATCAGGAGAGTTCAACGAGAGTCTGATAAATGGTCAGTGACTTATCTAAGCAATAATATACAAGATGAATTGATAAATTTAATGGGAAATTCAATTTTAAGAAAAATTGTCGAAATAACAAAAATCGCTAAATATTTTTCTATAATCGCTGATTGTACCCCCGACGTCAGTCATTATGAACAGCTCTCCTTAACAATAAGAGTTGTTACTTTTAACTCCATTCAAAATAAATATGAAATTGCAGAATTCTTTATTGGTTTTTTTGAAGCTAGTGATTCAACCGGAGAAGGTTTAGCAAAACTTATTCTGACACATTTGGAAAAATTAGGTTTTGAGTTAAAGTGGCTTAGGGGACAAGGCTATGACAACGGAGCCAATATGAAAGGAGTAAGAAAGGGTGTTCAAAATAGAATACTTGAAAAATATCCAAGGGCTTTTTATGTGCCCTGCGCATGCCATTCTTTAAACCTTGTTGTGAATGATGCAGCGTCTTCTACTACAGAAACAACATTTTTTTTTTCTATTGTACAAGAACTTTACACTTTTTTTTCTGGTTCTACAAAGCGTTGGGAAGTGCTAAAAAAATATGTTTCTCAATTAACTCTGAAACCATTAAGTACTACTAGGTGGGCAAGCAGAATAGATGCTTTAAAACCTTTACGATTTCAACTTTGCGAAATCTATGATGCATTGATTCTGATAATAGAAGACGTCAATAGAGATGCAGAAACTAAAGTTAAAGCGAGAGGGTTAGCAAAAAATATTAAAAATTACAAGTTTATATGTGGAGTAGACTTTGGCATGATATTTTGTTTGAAATTAATTCAGTTTCGAAGCTTTTGCAATCTGTTACTATAAATATATCAGATTGTGTAAGGATGCTATCAGAAACCATAAAAAAAGTGAAAAGTTATAGACAATCTGGATATATTCAAATGAAAATTGCTGCAAAGGAGATAGCAGAGAATCTCAAATCCAGTACAGAATTTCCTGATGACACTGAAGTTAGACCCAGAAGGAAAAAGCGTCAATTTGACTATGAAAAAGCTGTCAATGAGCCCTTAACAGAGGAGAAAAAATTTAAAATAAACTTTTTCAACTATATTCTGGACATTACCCTTAATTCTCTGAATGAACGATTCACGCTTCTGGAAACCCATAGCAAAAAATTTCAGTTCTTATAAGGATATAGATGACAAAACGCTAGAAAATTATTGTTCCAGTCTTGAGTTTATATGAGTATATATACTTTCGGTTGAAAATGAAACAGATATAAATGCAAATGACCTTAGAGAAGAATTGCGTGATGTATCCAGAATGCTACCATATTCTACGAAACCTTTGGATGTTTTAAATTATTTATGCCAAAATAGCTTAATTAGTTTGTATCCAAATACTGTTGTAGCTCCGAGAATTTTATTAACTCTCCCTGTATCTGTAGCTAGTGGGGAAAGAAGTTTCTCCAAATTAAAATTAATAAAAAACTACTTAAGAAGTTCAATAGGACAAACAAAACTTAAAAATCTGGCATTAATTTCTATTGAATCTGCAATGGCTAGCACTCTAGACTACACATCAGTAATTAACGAATTTGCTAAAGTTAAAGTTAGAAAAGTAAAGCTGTAATACTGTACATTGTTGTAGTTTATAGTTGAAATCATTATTTTAAAATTTCAAAATAAAAAGTAGAATTCGTACATTTTGTGCATTTTTTTTTAAATCACAATCGAAGGTTATTTTAAATAAAAACATTTAAGGGGCGGCATTTCGAAGATTTGCCTCATAATGAGAAAATCTACCGCACGGGCCTGGAGTGATTATAGATGAAAATTTATCATGGAAATATCATATTAAATCTATTGAAAACAAAATCTCCAAAAATATTTCAATGCTATATTAAATTAAACCATTTCTTTTCTTAATATTGAGTCTTTAAATTATATATTTTTCATTTATTCATAGTTATCTTTCCCATTGCAATATTGCTCATTTCAAATTCAATACCGTGGACCATTCATATGGAAAAGTTTTTTAAAAAATATTATTAAAAATAAAACTCTTCTAAACTTCTCCCTAGAACAATTCAAAAAAGAATCTAAACGTTTTCTATTAGGAAAAAACTTCGATTTTAAAAGTTTCTTTTAAAAATAGTACCTAAAATAATAACTAAAAAAAACTGTTTAATAACTAAAAAAAACTGTTTATTTATATATCTTATTATACGATTTACTACTTGTAATATATTGTGTTGTATTTTGTAATTTTTAACTTGTTACATAAACTGAAGGCAACAATGTAAACGGGGCTTGGCGATAAGACAATATACGTCTTCTTCTTGCTCCGGCCATATATTATATATGTACGATCTTTCTTATTGTAAATTTTATCAAACGGCAAAAAAAAAAAAAAAAAAAAAAAAAAAAATAGAGCGATAAACATATATATATTAACGAAGAAAAAACAACTTTTTCTATGGTACTTTAAGTTTCATGCCTATACGGCAATCATCAGCCAATGAATACAGAATTATCCTCCTAGTATTCTAAAAAGCCTTCCTCAAACTATCTAACTAAGATTGTCAACCAATTCTTCTATGAAAATATTTTTAAACAATCCATTCCTCTTTATCAAGATGCATTATCTAAATCAGGTTTTATCTGCAAATTCGCTTACCATTCAAATAAAAAGCCGATCTAATTCAAAAATCACAAGCGAAACATAATCTGGTACAACCCACCTTCCAGTACCAATATTGTAACAAAAATAGGCAGTTGTTTTTTGAACTTGGTAGACCTACATTTTCCGGTTGGTCACAAACTTCGTTAGATATTTAATCGAAATACCATTAAAATAAGCTACTCATATATTTTAAATATCAAGTCCATCATTAATTCGCATAACCACAAGATATTATATAGCCAAAATAAAGATGAGGGAAAAACATGCAATTGTATCAACAAATCCATCTGTCCCATGAACAATCAGTGCTTGACAAAAAACATCGTTTATCAAGCCACTGTGTCGTCAAATAAACCTACAAAGACTACAAAGAAAAAGTATATTTTGGCTTATGTGAAACTCCATTCAAATCTCGGTATGCGAACCACCTGTAATCTTTTAACATTAACAAATATAAAAATGATACTGAGTTGTCTAAAAAAATTTGGGACATAAAAGACAAAATGTTTACACCCTTAATTAAGTGGAAAATTGTAAAACGTTGCAATACTTATAACGCCTCGTCAAAAATTTGCCATCTTTGCTTATTCGAAAAATTCCTCATTTTAACATATAAAGGTGATAACTTATTAAATAAACGAAATGAGTTGATTTCAAAATGCAGACACAAAAATAAATTTCTTTTATCTTTTTTTGACACCGGAGATTAGCTGATATTTATTTTTTTCTTTGGTTGCCATCAAGAGTGTCTCAGCGACGTTAAGATCCCACTTCACAGTATTTTGTAATTTTTAGCGGGTTTTTTGTTTTTGATTTTGTATTATGAAGGCACCTTTAGCCTTGACTTAGTATACCAATTAGCCAGAATTTCATATTATGCATATTTAACTTGGCAAAAGACTCCCGCATCAAGTGGCTGTTGCAGTATGCTGGCAAACATAAAATAGTTATATAATTGTCAATTGTATTTTTAACAGTTTCTAAAGAAATATGACTCATATGACCATCAAAGATAAGCAATTAGCCATCACAGTATTTTATTTGAAAAACCAAGCTTTTATGAAATTTTTTGTTTGACTTTTCAGCCAGCACACTTTGGCCAACGTATGTAAATACATTGCGAACGTCGGCTGTTTTCTCCGATGCAAATACAACGTTGATCCAATGTTAGTTTAATTATATTTATATAATTCAAAACCTCAATAATGACGTGATTAAAAATAGTTAAGAAAATACGTATGTAACAGTATCGCAGAGGTTGGTTGTTTTTTCGATCTAAACTTATCATTAATCTAATGTATAGTTATCAACGTTGACCAAATGTGTATAAACCAACATTGATCCAATTTAAATGGATTAATGTTGATCCAATGTTTATAACCCAACAATTATCCAATGTACATGTTTTAACGTTGGATTATATGTATTAGATCAACGTTGCTCCATATACATATATATTTATTGCTCCATATACATATGTTTCCTCTAAGAATGTACCCAATAAACAATATATTGGCATAACAGACGGTGAATGGAAAAAACGTTTTGCCAATCATAAGCAATCTTTTAAAAATAAAAAGTATCAAAAGATAAAAATATTGATGATTTTATACTGAATTGGTCCATCTTTAAAACAGCAATATTTCATACAACAACAATTCATACAACAATATTTCCAAAAAATGCATACTATGTCTACAAGAAAATTTTCAAATAATTACACATGCAAACCAAGAATGTTTGTTAAACAAAAAATTGAATTGATTTCTAAATGCAGGCAAGAAAATAAGTTTCTCCTAAAAAACTATAAAAATAAGTGAGTTCAAATAATAGTTAAATTAATCCCCCTTTATATATATATATATATATATATATATATATATATATATATATATATATATATATATATATATATATATATATATATATATATATTTATATATATATATATATATATTTATATATATATATGTATATATATATGTATATATATATATATATATGTATATATATATATATATATATATATATATATATATGTATATATATATATATATATATATATATATAAATATATATATGTATATATATATATATATATTGTATATATATATATATATATATATATATATATATATATATATATATATATATATATATATATATATATATATATATATATAAATATATATATGTATATATATGTATATATATATATATATATATATATATATATATATATATATATATATATATGTATATATATATATATATATATATATATATATATATATATATATATATATATATATATATATATATATATATATATATATATATATATATATATATATATATATATATATATATATATATATATACAGGCGCGGATCCAGGAATTTGTAACTGTGTGGCCAAGTCCGGGTTTGCGGACGACGTGAACACCTAATTATTTTTATTTTTTTATTGAGTAATTGGGGGGGGGGGGGGGAAGTGCCAAATACGATAAACAACAAAAAAAAAAAAGGTTAAAATTTAAATTTTTTACATTTGCCGACTTTAAAATGTCAAAATTTGTCAACTATATTTAAAATTACCAAATACAATTCGATATTGGCCAGTGGAGGAAGGGGGATGACATCACCCTATTCCCTCCTCCCCTTTTAAGATAAATTACTTTACTTTTATTTTTTTCTGTGGGAAGGACCTATGAAATAATCCTACGGACTCATTATGTATTATTTTTTTAAACTATTATTCGTAGGGAGACTAACTTACTTTACTTAACTACTTTAGATTTAATAATCTGAGAGCGCCATTATTACAATAAGTATAATAGTTTTCACGCTTGAGGCTAAAAACTTTGTTGTTTTGTTGTAGACGAAATGAGCGACGAATTCGTCTCCGACGAATTTTTATATAAGGAATCAATCAAAAAAATTAATAAGAGATCATTCATATTATATACATAGACTTACAAAAATTATATCATATTTTAATCTTATTCAGTAGAAATAGCTCTCTGTTTGAATAAAAAAAACACTTAATTTTGATATTTCTCGTTAGAAATAAACTCTCTAAACAATTGTGTAATTCAAAAACGCATACATTTTTAAAATTACTATTACATTAAATATTAAAAAGCATTATAGGTAAAAAAATGTTATATATGAAGAGTCGACTTGTAAACCAGATATTTCACTTTTTACTTGTAATTGAAATCTATTTACTTCGTGTTTGTTTGACAATATTCTGCTAATGCAAAGTTATTCTAAACAATCGAGTCAGTCGTGGTAAAGCTTATATAGTATTGTTTTTAGTTATCCATTTAATAATAAAGTTATTCAAAATATTGCCTTGGCTATTTAGTTCATAAATTAGACATAGTACTTGTCTAAATCACTTAACGAAGTGCACCAACGAGAAGGTAAGCCATAGGACTTTGCACTCCATCAGTAAACTGCCGTGTTGCCTAAGGTTAGCCCACTATTTCTGGATTTTTTTTTTTTTTTGATAGGCAGTTATGTACAAATATTTTTAAAACATTTAAAAAACTTTTTTACATTTTTTTTTAAATAAATTTTAATAAATAAATAAACAAGTCAAAATATAATACAACAAATAAAGCAACAATCAAAAAAGTAACAACCTAAATCACATGAAAACATTTTCAACATTAGTAATTAAAAGAAATTCAGAAAAATTCAGAAACTCAGAAATTCAAAATTTTTATTTGAATAAAAACTTTAATTTTTTATCTCCTTTGGATGCAAATATTTCAATAACATTAAATAGACATTAAAGTAAGTCCATTCAATCTAATTTCTGACATAGTACTCTCGTGTAAGTTTTGATTCTCCTGAGAGTAGATATTGACCTTTCACACTAACAAGTTGTGATTGGTATTGTAGCAAGTATATGAAACGCCTCTAAAATGTTTAGAAAGC